GGTATTAATTTTGAAGGAGAAAGAATATTTTTAAATTTTAGTACTACAAATAATAGGTCTTGGAGCTTGCAGCTGCTGATTTGATCACACTAGTAGTAAGGTCTATCAGTAGTAATGAGACTTGGAAATGGAAGTAGGGCCAACACAATCAAAAGAACTCTAGCAAGACTAAGGAGCCTAAATTTGATCTATTTTTCTTCTACAAGTGCCAATTATCTCCATCAAACTATGTTATAGAAAAATTTGATGGAGATAATTGGCACTTGTAGAAGAAAAAAATCTAATTTATCGACATTGACAAGGATTTATGGAAGGTTGTCTATGGAAAATACAAGAAACTTGATGGATCACTTATAGATCTAGAAGAGTTAAAAAAATGGGAGGATATAGACCATAGGGCATTATCTATAATTTGCCTACATCTTAGAGATACAGAATTTTTGACCACAAATAAGGCAAAAAGCACACAAGTAGCATGATAAGATTTAGAAGCAACATACGAGGTAAAAAAATACTTTAAGTCTATTATATTTGATTCAAAGATTGTTGACCAAGCAAATGAGTGAAGGTAAGAATATTGTTACGCATATATGCAAGCTATGGGAGATGGGTGAGCAACTTTTTTTTATTGGTAATAAGGTTTTTGATACACACTTTGTAATGGCATTACTAGGGAGTCTCCTAGAATCATATCAAACATTGGTGGTGATACTAGAAACAAGACCTCCAATGGAACTAACATTACAAATGGTCATAGCTCAACTATTACAGCAAGAGTCTTATGACAAGAATGTGAGATCAATCTTGAAGGTGGCATTGATTGTCAAAAGAAAATCCAAGTCACATTCTCATACTCATATTCATATTGGATCTTCACATGATCAGAAGAAGAATGTGAAATGTAAAGATTGTAGCAAAAAAGGTCACTATAAAGAGAATGTTGGACTAATGAGAAGAATAGAAAGTCAAGAAAGTCAAAGAAGACTTTTCAAAAAGAGTATGCTAATATAATAGACAAAAAATATCAAAAAGATGATAAATTTGTCTTTATAGCTACGTTATTTGTCAATATGAGTGATATAAAATGATACATCAATTTTGATGCTTTTTAATACATGACATGAAATTGAAGTTAGTTTTCAAGTTACAAAAATCTACTATAAGGCCCTAAAGTCTATTTAGACAATGGTACTAAACTTGCCATCAAAGGAAAGGATAAGATCTCTTTCCAATTTCCAAACAACATTCGTAAGAATATACATGATATCTTGTATATTGAAGGATTGGCTAAGAATTTTCTTTCTATTACCAAAATGACAGATCATGCTTACAAAGTCAATTTTAATGTTAATGCATGTTTCATAAAATGAGACAATGCAACCATCAAAGATATTAGACATGGTAGCTTGTATAAGCAATTGAAATCTTTAGATGAAAATAAAAAAACTTTTCTTATTACTGAGTCAAAACAAACTTTGAACAAGATTGATGTCTAGGATCAATGATATGGTCATCTTAGCATTTTGGACTTAAAGAAACTACAAGCAGGTGATATGGTCATTCATCTGGACACAGGCAAGGACACAAAGTTAGATTTCGCAAAGAATGCATTTATGGAAAATAATATCAATATGCTTTTCCAACAAAAGATAGTACTCATACAACAAAATTCTTTGAATTGATACATTTTGATGTAAATAGTCCGATAAAAAAAACATCTAATGGAGGAACAAAATACTTTGTTACTTTTATCGATGATTTTTTTAAAAAAACTTTTGTATATTTCATGAAACAAAAGTCTGAAGTCTTAGATAACTTTAGAATTTTTAAGGTTTTAGTTGAGAAATAAACAGGCTTTGAGATTCAAAAATTGCATAGTAACAATACTGGAAAGTACACATCTAAAGCCTTCAAACAATTTTGTGAGCAACATGGCATTAAAAGATAATTTTCAATGCCTTATATGCCTCAACAAAATGGAGTTGTAGAATGCAAGAATCAAACATTATTTGAGAGTGTAAGGTACATGTTATAGCATAAACAACTTTCAAATGCATGGTGAGCAAAAGCCATTAATAGTGCAACACATGTCCTTAATCAACCTCCTACTACAGTTGTGGAAGGAAAAATAGTGAAAGATTTGTAAAATCTACCTCAGTGAGCAAAAATATATGAAAATGTCCTTGAAAGGTTTGACTTGAAAGATTGTAAACCTTTGGCTACACCTTTGTATTCTAACAATAAATTGTCAAGAGACATGAGTCCATAGATTCTTAAGGAGGTTGAAGCAATGAAGGGGATTCTATACCAAAATGCAATGGGCAATTTAGTCTATGCAATTATAGGCACTTGGACCAATATTTTATATCCAATGGGAGTTGTTAGCTAATACAAGGCAAATCCTAGCCCACAACATTGAATGGCGATGAAATACATTTTGCAATATCTTCAAGGCACATTAGATCATGTGCTACAATATAGTGGAAGTTCTTTAAGTTTGTAAGTGGTTGGTTATTATAATACAGACTATGTAAGAGATATTGATACATGACATTCAACTACTAGTTATACATTCTTGTTGGCTAGTGGTGCAATTAGTTGGAATAATAAGAAGCAACCAACAATCATATTATCTACCATCAAAGTAGAGTATATGGTAGCTACTCATGCTACAAAAGAAGCAATTTGGCTTCAAAGGTTTTTTAAAGACATTAGATTTTCACAAGACGATCTTTTGACTATTTTCAATGATAATGAAAGTTGCATTTTTCTTTCAAAAAATCCTACATTCTACATTCATACTAAGCATGTTGAAATTTAGCATCACTTTGTTTGTGAGAAGATTGAGAGTGGTCATATCAATTTAGTTTTTTACGGGACTGAAGATATGGTTGTAGATGTTTTCACGAAAGGTCTAACTTATAAGAAACATTGTAAATTCAAGGAGATGATAGACATCATTAAATTGAGTTAGTCTAATATGTCATTAAGTAGGAGTATTAATAGAGTATATAATTCCTATTAGATATAAAGTAGAATGGGCAATTGACACCGCTTTGTCGATTGTCAAGTTATAGCATGATATTTGTTGGTGGTAATATTATTTAGCTGCCATAGCTTGCCAAGTTGTCATACGACCAAACAAGATGAGTATCCACATATTAATTAGACATTGTTGACTAAGCTAATTATTTGTATGTTCACACTAGAAAATCCATGTGGTTAGACCATGGACTTGTGCTATATAAGATAGAGAAATTTTTTGTATTTGCTTCTATCTTAGCAATACACTTCCTCTTTATTTTCTCACAACTTAAATGTATAGAGAAATTCTACAATGCTTTCAATAAATATCTATGTATATAAATTTCAATCCATTGTAGTCTATGAAAATACTAAGAGGAAATGGCAATGGTTTTAATAGATTTGCTGAGTGGGTTACTTTCTTTTTTATTGTTTTAGGCTTGGATAGTTTTGGTAACAATACGAAGATAGTTTTTCGTGGTGCCGAGTCAGCATCCGACTCGGGAGTAAGTTCCAAAGCGGAGTGGAGTGAAACTGTCGGCGGCGGTTACGAGGCCGACAGCTTTCAAAAAATTCAAACGCCAAAGCACGTAGAGAGAAAACAAACGCCGGTGGTGAGCCGGCACCAGGCGTTACCGTCCGGCACCGCTTCGGGAGTCATCGATCACGTCGCACTCTAGCACTGCCACGCCGGCGATGAAATTCGGGGTAAAAAGGCATGGGAATTGATTTCGCCGGGATTGCAGACGTCGTGGCTGCATCGTCGAGGTCTAATCCAATGTGGCGAGAGGCTTGCAGACGTGATGTAGCCGATCTGGACGTGAGATCTACCGGTGCAGCTGAGCCTTGCAGGTACATCAGTTTTACTGCAACCTTTACACATTGCTTTCTGTTCCTTCTGTCTTCTTCGACAGAGATGGAATCTCTTAAGGGTGCAGTCTTGTGACAGCTCGATCAATCGAGTTATCGGTGGATCAGGTATGTCTAATCGACTTGGTGCAGCGGACATGCCACGTCGTTGGTTTTGGAGAAAGTTTCCTTTGGACAATACGAACGTATGTTTTTTTACGCGTTTGGGATCTGGTCTGTGTCACTCTCACGATCTTAAGTTGAACGCGAGAGATAGAGCAAGCAGGGAGGTGCTTTTCATTCGGATGCTAGTTGGCGGTGTGGAAATTTTTGGGTAGAGGATCCACCAGGACTGTTTCTCTCGGATGAAGAGACTGCGCTTCGTAGATTGAAGACTGAGGCGGATCTGTAAGTAGAAGGGTAGTAACAGATCAAAGTTTGTCTTGGCGACAGCAGACGCAATTCGCGCGGATCTGCAGTTTCGTCGATTACTGTCCTCCCCATTCCGTGTGAAGGGGGAAGTCGTCGGAGTCGGGATGCCTTCCTAACTTCGACAGAATGTGGGCTCATGGGATTTTCGGCTATTTTTATGCGCTTCCTTGTGTACCCAGGACTTTCTTGTGCACCTAAATACACAACTTTCTCATGTATCCAGGACGTCTCATTTTATGACAATTTCATAAAGAAAATCAACCAGCCGGTAGAAACCCCTACGAATTCGGCCATACAAACGTAACTGCTCATAGTACGAGTACATAAAACACGTATTTGACACAAAGATGTTTTGGATCGAACTTGAGTTCCGTGCGGCTTTCGAGTTCTTTCTGTTTTCAACCCAGCTTCCGAACGGAAAGAAATCAAATCCTATTTGACCTGAGTTTGAAAGAGGTTCTGAAGAACGATGTGAACCTCTGACCATGGTGGATTCGGGAATGTAGATAAAATCCTCGACCTACGCACGTTGTCCCTGATTACAGGGATCGCTCATACGAACCGGGTGGTCATACGAATCGGGTGTGCATAGAGAGTTGCCGCCTGTAACGACACAGTGTTATTCGCTGCAGCTCGGCGAGATAGTTGAGATTGTGCGAGCACATTGATCCGATTTTTACTGTCTTCCTTGGGCTGGGTAGGATTTAGTTGGGTCGCAAGTGGGAGAGATCTCACTTCAGAAGATAGTCTCGAGTAACTTCTAACGCAGTCCAATCTAACTCATGTGTTTAGCAGTGGGAATGTCGGAACTGTTGGGGTGCATTTATGAGCCTCATTTAGAAACTTGCTTTTTAAAGGACTTTCTCGAATTGACTCCTGTTCTGCTGTTCCTGATTAAAATACGAACTAATTCAGATCGTGAACCCCTCGTGCCAGCTCGCTGCTAGTGTTTCTTTAGAAAGGTCGATGGGCGCGTAGGTAGATTGGTTACTACGGTTGGTGTTGGTTAGGGGTTTGTGGTTCTTTCACTTCGGGTTTCTTGATCTTAAGGTTAAGTCTCACCCGCCCTTGCAAGACTCTTGCAGAACTCTTTTCTTGTGTTTAAGTCATCCATCCCGGTGTTCTCCGGCTGTGTCACGCGCCATCACCTCTATCTATCGTATGTCGCAGTCGAGGAGTGTATGCAGTTAAAATGCACTCAGCAGCTTCGATAGGTGTGCAAGCATTTCAAATGTGTCATCAGACTGCATTATTCTTCTGCCGCTCTTTGGTATCCGAACGTCCTTATTTTCAGAGAACGAGGTTGTGTAACAATCAGATGGGTAGTGTGTGATTCAAGTTTTGATCGCGAGTTAAATCGTTTTTGCAGTTTTCAAGGTACAACAGAATTGCAATGCTAAATCTCGATGAGATGAGAGACTGCGTTATCGAGCGCTGCAGTTTTGCAAACATGAGACGAGTGCTCCTCGTCTGCGACCTGACCTGGCTCAACGGCAAGAAAAGCTCCTAGGATGCAGACGCTTGTTTCAGCATTTTTCTCACCGCACAATTTTCTTTTTATCAATCGTCACTGTCACGATGAGCTTCGAGGCCATCCTGAAGGCAGAGGATGATGGCAGGAGGCGCAGCTCCCGTCTGAATTTTATCGTTCTGCTGATGATTCTTATAATCAACGCTCTGGCATTTTGTGGGTTCCAGTATCTCTACAGGGTGGAGCAGCACCATCAGGATATGAACGATGGATCATTTCAGGAATCCAACAAGTTCCAATCCTCTGTCGTTGAGAAGCAGGACGAACTTTCGAATCAGATGAATGACACCTTGGAGGAAATTCGAGATCTCCGTCGTCAGCTCCGAAGATCTCGAGAGCGGATCGCTCAAATGGAGGGGAGGCACCTGAAGCTTCTCCTTGACATTCAAGCAAATACCAGATCTATCCTCGAAGCCGAAAGCGACGAAGGTCGAAACACTGCTGGTGAATTGGTAAATCAATCTATTGAGGCTGATCCTTACCATCGCTGGATGCTTGATAGGCGCGACACTCTCCCCGAGGAATTTCGTGAGTATGTGGCGACAAGGAAACTTGTTTTCGGCTGGAATCCCGCTCTTTCGACGGACATGATGACTGCCACTGTTGGGCAGGCGTGCGTTGCCAACTTGGACGACCTCAAGCAGTTTATGAATTATGAGGTCGGCAAGGTGTGTCCTGATGATGATAATCTGGCACAGAAGCTCTTATTGAATGGTTGCGAGCCTCTTCCCCGTCGCCGGTGAGTAATTAAGGATGGCCTTCTCGTTCTGCTGTTACATAATCACATTTACAGAGAGCCAGTTTTTGGCTTGAGGTGGATTTGTTTTGTAAGTGAAACATTTCTTAACTGTGTTGCAAGTGTTCGTCAATGTTCACGGTTTAGTGTTTTGATAATTGATGTTCGTTGAGATGTTTATTGCAGATGCTTGGCAAGGGGACCCATAAAACCTACGGAGCCACTCCCGTTTCCGGATTCCTTGTGGACTGAACCACCGGATGAAAACATCCGCTGGTCAGCTTACGACTGCAAGAGCTTCGAGTGTCTAAACACTCGATCTGCCAGAAAAGTGTTCGCTGATTGTCTCGACTGCTTCGATCTTAAAGGTCGGGAGGCACATCGATGGGTGGGGAGGCCATCAAAGCCTCACGCTGTTGACTTTACGGTGGAGCAAGTTCTCGCTATGAAGAGCGGCATCCGCATCGGTTTGGATATCGGAGGTGGAACGGGCTCCTTCGCAGTTCGGATGCGAGAACACAACGTCACTATCATAACATCGACATTGAATTTGAATGGTCCTTTCAACAATTTCATAGCACAGCGAGGAGTAATCCCCTTCTTTGTGTCGTTAGGGCAACGGTTTCCATTCTGGGACAACACGTTAGACATTGTTCACTCAATGCATGTTCTTTCGAACTGGATTCCTTTCGAAATCCTCGAGTTTGTCTTTTACGACATTGATCGTATCTTGAGACCCGGCGGGGTCCTGTGGCTTGACCACTTCTTTTGCATCCAGTCTGAACTAGACACAAGATATGCGCCATTAATTAGAAGCTTCGGTTACAAAGAGCTGAGATGGGACGTCGGAAAAAAGCTCGATCGCGGTGCTGAGAAGAAGGAAGTATACCTCTCCGCCCTTCTTGAGAAACCTTTGACAGGCAGATATTAAGATTAGAATGTCGTACGGTTGAGTGCTTGAACCACTCCCATTTACAGATTGGAGAATCAGTCCAGAGATTACCTTGGCATTCTGCTATTTCATAAGATGTAACCCGAACCAAATGAGATGCGCCCAGTAGAAAATCAGTAGTTATTAGGAGGAAGGTTGAGAATTTCACTTAATTTTGATGTGTAGGAGTTGAAGGGTTTCTTGGTAACACGATACCAGTGCCTCGAAATTATGTACTTCGCAATTATGCTTATTCTTGGGCGGGCTATATTTATATTTTGATGCAATCAGCTTCTCAATTGAGCTGCAGATACTTGATTCTCCCTACGATTATTTCAGAATTCTAGTGTACAACTTCATTTGTTTTGCCGACTTTAGGAATAAGCCATTGTATTATTGGAGAGACACTTATCTAATTTCAGGTGTCGAACCGTCCATGGGGCTGTAACAATTCAAGCTTCATTTACAGATTGATGAATAAGGTTCGGATCCTGTGTCCACTGTCATATATGAGAAGGCCGTCAATGGATTCGTTTCTGTTGTCAACCAACGCTACAATCTGGCCGTCGTAAAGTACGATAGTGACTGTGCTGTCATCGTCGCGGTTGGCCATGGTGAAGAAGCCACTTCTGCCATTGCGGGCGCATGTAAATTCCATCCATTCACTGGGCTTCAGCTCCTCGGAGGATCCGTCTGGGCTGGGTGTTATCCCAACTGTGTTCGACGATGTCCAGTTCCGAATTGTCACTAGAGAATTGAAGAGGCTGAAGAACGACAACACCATAGCCCGATATAACCTGAACTTCATTCAGAATTGGGTCTTTGGCCTAGAAGACACTTGCTGCTTCATACTTATTACCGCCACACGTTGCGCTGGTCAACCAAAAATGAGAGGATTCTCTAAGCAATGCAATGGGCTTCACAGTGTCTGACCCGCTCAGGATAACTTCTGTTATGTGAGGGCAGTTAAACTGTAACATGCTCCCCCCAGCTTGAAGGTTGAAATGAAGATGTGCAGAGATGAGCTCCTTGAATCACATGAATCTGACAGGTTCCCCGAAATCCATTCATACAAATGTAAAAAAAGCAGATTTCTATGACCAACTCTGTCCAGAACACAGCAAGATGGAACTTAGCAGGTGATGCAAGTTGAAACAGGGGAAGTAGTCAGCTGGATTCAAGGAACAAAGATTGAAGGTGGTGAAACTTCCATGTCCTTTGAGCCTCAAAACCTGTGAGTCAGTTATCTGTAGGAGAATTTTTGTGTTTTCGCGTAGTCCGAAATTTCATGTTGAAATATAACAACCTCTAAAAAGTAGTTCACGGGGATTCAACTTTAGAAAATATGTGCCGAAACTTTGAACAGTAACAACACTACACAAAACACATTTAAATCATTTGTGCAAGTGGGTCACGATCAGAAGAAACCCACCTCCCGGGCTTCGAACGGAGCTCCAGGTTCTTCGCCCCACATGGTAGAATTGCACGACCTCACTAAAGTACCCAACTGCGGCATCGAAGATCCCAAACCGAAGACCCGCCCACTTACCCCATTTCGTTAAAACCGTTATGGAGAAATTTTTTCTTTATTTTTTTTCCCCCCTTTTCTTGTCGTTTTTATTCCATAAGATCCTAAGTTCTAGGAGAGTCACACCACACTAGCATTACACAGTGAGGCATGATGGTGCAGGCGCCTATAAAAATGAAATTTCTGATCACTTTTCATGCATCCGTATTCTTTTTTGAACCCAATTGACAGTAGCTAAATATGTCAAGTGGAACTTAATTATTTATTTTGTTGATTTGGTCAATAAATTCTCTTTGTTTATTTAAAAAGTTGTCAATTTGAATCTCATCACTTCTTATTATTGTTGAAGCATACATTGCAATTGTGGTGTTTTACATGATTTCTATTAAAAGTATATGAACAAATAAGTCCACTTAGTGCCCTAAAAAAGAATCCATTACAGACATAATGCATATTACATAATTGTTATTCTTGTAATAATGCATTACATAATTGTTATTCTTGTAATAATGCATTACATAATTGTTATTCTTGTAATAATGCATTACATAATTGTTATTCTTGTAATAATATGTATTCTTGTAATAATATTCTTGTAATAATGCATTATGTATTCTTGTAATAATATGCATTATGCATTCTTGTAATAATATGCATTATGCATTCTTGTAATAATGCATATTGTTATTCTTGTAATAATGTAATAGAAAAATATTATGCATGACAACTTTTACATTCTATTAAGATATTTGATTCTTTAAGAGTATTTAACCAATTTTATTCCAACATCCTTTTTATTCACTTAATTGTGTTACTGTGATTAATATATAATTACATACCAAATTTCTGCATTGTGCCAGATTTGACATTTATTGTCTGAACAATGTATACTGCCATAAACAAGTTTCTTCCAATTAAAATATATGTATATATATATATATATATATATATATTTATATTTATGTACCAAAAAGGTACTTTTTTATGTTAAATGAAATTATTAATAGATTGATATGATAATCTCAAAAATAGACAATTCAATTTTTTTAAAATGTTTTAAAAATGAAGAGTAAATAAGAAAACAATGCACTTTATTTATAGAATATCTGTATATAATTTAAATGTGTGGGTTTAAACTTAAATAAACCTAAAACATTATCATGTGTTTTTTTTATAAGGGATTTATTTTATTTTATTGATAGATCTTGTACTTATTTTTGGATGAAAAAAATTCACTCATTCAAAGTAGTTGGAAAGAAAAATTCAAATTTTCATTGTAATAATTTTATAGTAATAACTATTAATTTATAAAATTAATTTTTAGTCATATATATATAGAATTGTTGAATCCATCTACCCATTAGCTAAGTCAATCCCCCCATCATTCTTATAGCATCTATCATCATCAAAAAATAGATCATTCACAACCAATGAAAAATATGGAGTTTTGGTGAAGAATCAAGAAATTTTTGCTAGACAGGCTACAAATAAAGAAGTGATTTTTCTGACTTTCAGACCATCACAAATTTTATAAGAAACTCAGAAAAATAGTACAAAGTTATAGAGTGCTTCTGACTTGATTTTTGAATAAATGGTTGCGAGAGAGAACAAGGCTCTAGATTAAAAACAAAGCAACACAAGCTTTCTTCTGAGTGATCTCCAAATCATAGTATTGTATTTCAATTCATTTGTCCCAGCTACTATCCTATGGTGTGATTGCTATCTGGGAATACATTGGATATCTAGCTGTAGAGAGTTTAGTTTAAACTTTTATATGAATCTTATCTTAGCTTCCAAAACTCCTTTAATTTGTATAAAACTCAAAATATAACATAATTCCTTCAAAACATATTTTTTCTATAAAGGGTTTCTCTTCTAAACTTTAGAAATTCATAACATTTGATCTAATCGTTTAATTTGTCTCAAATTTATAGAATAGGTAGAATTAATTCTTAAGTTTTATAATTAAAAAAATCAATTGTAAATTCACTCTTGATCTTTAGGCATCTAAAAAATCCTAGTAAATGCTCTTAACCCTAATTTACAAGTACTTGAACACTATTTTCTTAATATCTCAAGAACCCAATACTTAAATGCCATCAAACTTATGTACAAAATTTATTAACATAAATTTACACATTTTCTAAAATTTTCAGCCAAAACCTTATCATATTGCTTAAGATATAGCTCAAGACACAACCATTAGTAAATCAGGTCACTTACTACCCTTAGATTGCATGTGCTAACTTCAAAATCCAATAAATCCTTCATCCCAACTTGGAATCGAGCAAGAAGTATAAAAAAATATAGCCGCAAAAGTGTTCTCTCCAATCGCGGTTGTTGATCCTCAATTGCCCTTTGTATGCTTACGTCATATCAAAAAGAATGACAGTATCTCTCAAATCAACACCTTAAGTTTGAGCGCCTATATCTCCTTCATATAAACTCCAAATCATACAAGATTTGCACCAAAACCATAGCCAAAAACCTAAATTTGGTGACCCTAACCTTCAAAGCTCAAATGGTCCCAAAAAACTAACCCTCATCTCTAATATGGCCTTGGGCAACCTCCTCGAAGCCCATTGGTCATGATTTTTGACCTATAGGAATGGAGATTTTCATCATCCATCTCCATTCATCTATATGGATGCCTTGAACTCTCTTTTTAATACCAAAATCCCTCTTTAACTCTTTTCTTTACAAGATTTACTCAATATATGCCCTAAACACCAAATTAAAGAATCAAAATAAGACTTCAAGTGTCACCAATGTCTAATAAAGTTTATTCTAAATATTTAAAATCACTACCAACAAAATGAATCTCAAAAGCTATTATAAAAAAAAAGTTATAAAAATTCTAATAATAATCCTTTTAAACAACCTCTTTTTAAAGTAATAATTTAACCACATTCTACAACCAACTAAAATCTAGTAATATGGCTCTCATCATATTGTTAAGTAATTATACTTTAAATATATAATCACATTATTTTCACATGGTAGCCAAACCATAACACCACACCGCAATCAAAGAGCTCTTGCATGTTCTTGGAAGGCCATACAAGAGCCACTCTTTTTGAATGATTTGAGGTCCACTAGGAGCCGCGGCTTGGAATCCGGATCTATGGCCAAGATTTCTAATAGCCAAAGGATTCTTGAATGTATTCAACTTTCAGTGATTGTTGTTACAACCATAGAAGTGTAACTCACGTATTTGATGGTTGTATTCTTTTGCACTCTTTGCATCATGATCTATATTGTTGAAGATCAATAAGTTCTTATTTAGTTACTATTACATAAAGATTAATCATAATAAGTTACTAATAGTCAAAAGGTACCAAAAGATTAAAAGAAGTTATTATGGCAGTGGCTAGGATTTTAAGGTGGCGATTAGGTTAAGATGAATCTAGTTCTAGTTAAAAGGATGAAGGTAATTCTAGATGAAGTCTATGTACTTGGGATGTAAACTCCATCTTTAAGTAAAGGGTGTTAGAAGTAAGAAACATCTTTCTCCACACTTCTCTTAGAGTACAATCCTAGTTGATGCTAAGTGTTTATAGCTTTTAGACTTCTTTTCTTCAATAGGTTATGGGCCCTCTCACATTTGCTTCAGTGTTTTTTGAAGTTCTTTGAAGTGGTTTTCTAAGTGTGGAGTAGATCAAGTTGTTGTTGCTGATGTTAGGCTTTAGAAGTACCTAACTTTCAAATTCAGATCTAGATCTAGATCTTGTTTTTTTTTTACTTGTGGTTAAGAGCATTTTGGTGTTGATATTTGGTTTTTTCACCTTAACGCAAAGTT